GTCTTTTCTTGCTTGCAAATTTGACAGCTCTTCGGGTTTTCCGTTAAATTGAACTGATTTTTTACACAGAATCAGGTCAGAAATAGGTTCTCCCCGGAATATTTTTTGAGTAAACCATTTAAATGCAGCATCTAAATCCGTATTTGAGACAAGTTTCACCGTTGCATAGGACTTGTGGATACGTCAGAGGAATCAAGCTGGGACATTAAGTTACTTATGATCGTCTTTAATTGGTCGTTCTGTTGATTGATGTTCAGATAATCGACACTCTACTGTACTTACTTTTTTACTCCTATATCTTTTTGTTCCCTCATATAAAAAAATATGTAAAAACTGTATTGCAATATTATTAAATACATCGAAGAAACTTAAGGGGACAGTCTCACGCGAAACTTTCAAAAAATCAAAAAATTTTTTTTTACATAAATCGCTTCTATTTACATTCAAAAACTCCCTCCTAAAATTTTAAAAAGAAATTCCCACTAGAATATAAGTTATAGTTATTTTATTAACGTCAGATACACACGTATGAAAACCGGTTTCTCTCCGCGCGGCGAACGCGAGGCTCCAGCTGTTCTTGCTTTTGTATATACAGTGTAGGAAAAATTTTATGGTCGGTATGGACCTTACGTGAGATGGAGTGAGAAACAGCTGTTTAAAAAGAGAGAGGTATATTAGGTACGCCCTTTATATCGCCGAATGGAAATATTAAAAAAGGGGAAATTCAACGTTGCCAAACTTATTGGTTTTATTTGACCTGTTGTATTTTTTGCATTTGAACAATGTTCTATCAAGAAGATAAAATGCTCAAGATAATCAAATTTGGGCGAAATTGATTTAAATGGCAGGTTACTGTTTTTTTTATTGGGAATATGCCACAAGTTTTCTTTACAATAATTGTAATATAACATTTTGATTTCCATTTCGGAAATCGTTTTATATAAATAAAATTTATTAATGTTTCGTATTTTAAGTACGATTTCCGAACTAAAAATCTAAACATCAAAATAATTTCCCAATATGAAATAATAAACAATTAAACATGCATACAATAACGCCAAATTAAAAAATATTCATACACTAATTTATTTGGCAACGTCTAGTCTAGATAGTCGTTTGGCCACCGTTCGGTGGTTTGGTCAAAAGATCGAGTAACGAGAAGTAGAGGTGGGTCGTGCTAGTTTATCGTTAAGAGCGTAGGTGCAAAATTTCGGGTCAATGTTTTTTAAATGCATTCATTTTTTTCGAATCCTGAGAAAACTAATAAATATTTTTGAAAAAATTAAACGCAGAATGAAACAATACATTATTACCGAGAGCTGAAAGTCCCTGAAAACTTCTATAATGTGTATTTTAATAAGTTATAGGGATGAAAAAAAAAAACAAAATTTAGTGTGATTTTTAATTTCAAATATCTCATTAAAAAAACTTTTTGTTTATTCTAAGGGACCTTCGGCCCTCGGTAATAATGTAATCTTTCATTCTGCATTTAAATTTCTCAAAAATATTTGTTAGTTTTCTCAGGATTCCAAATAAATTTTAATTTTTTTGAATGCTAAAAAGCATTTAAAAATTTTAATTTTTATAAACAAGTAACTATGATTGTTTAAAAGTAGTTTCAAGTAAGATAGTACCTACATAAACAAACATAACGGCTATTATCGTTTATGTGTATATCTTTTGAAGTGAAAGAAACTACCTAATGATATATTTATTATAACTTGAAAAATAAACTAAACAATCATCATCATCATATAACGGGGGTCCTACGGCGATTGCCGCTTCCCGCATTTCAGCCTCCATCTTTTCCTATCTCTTCAATCTCCCTCTTCTAAGCCTCTAGATTGCATTGTTTTTGTAATTTCTCTTCTCCAGGAATTTGGTGGTCTTCCCCTTTTCCTTCTTTCTGGCGGAACATACATTAAGGCTTTCTTTGGCCACCGCTCCTCCTCCATTCTCATCACGTGACCATACCATTGTAATTGCCTTCCTTGTATTGTATCTGAAAGAGTATCTCTAATTCCTGTACGGTTTCGTATTTCCTCATTCCTGATTCTTTCCATTCTCGATACTTGACATGACCGTCTAAGATAATCCATTTCCACAACGTCTACTTTATCTCGTTCATTCTTTGTCATCGTCCAACATTCGGCACCATATGTGGTAATTGGTTCTACAATTGCTCTGTATACGCGAAGTTTGGTATGCATCTTTATTTTATTAGACCACAGTAATGAATTCAGTATTCGGATGCATTTTTTCCCTTGGGTTATTCGGTTTTGTACATCTATCTTAACTCTGCCATCTGCTGATATGATGCTTCCTAGATATTTATACTGGTTGCAGCCTTTTATGACTGCGTTTTCAAGCCTCAGATCTGTGGTATTTCCTCCAATTTTTAAATATTCTGTTTTAAATATTCTGTTCTAAACTAAACAATACAAATAGTAAATCGGACTTACATTTACATTACACGTTATTATTAAATCGCGAATAGTCTAAATTGACATAAAAACTATTGTCCTGTGTTAAATATTGTCCTGTTAATGCGAAGTAACTCTCAGTTACTCCAGATGTCCAGGTAATACAGATATTTTCTACTTCTTTAACAACTTGCGATCTAATAATTTGCTCACTTTTGACATAATATTCCTGAAGTAATGAACCTGACAAAGTTTTTCTTGTTGGTGGTTTATATCCAGGAATCCACCCTGCAAACTTTTTAAAAGCTGGTTCTTTAACTATGGAAAACGGATGAAACGAAAAGTTTAGTAAATCTTGAAAATCAATCAGTCCAAGAAAAAGAAACTGATAAAGATGACTTAAGTCCATGGTGTATTTTTGATGAATTAATTGGACATGACTCATCTAAACATACACCTGTATCGAGAGGTATAAAAGAAGTCAACATGTAATTGTCTGATGATATATTACCCACAAACAATTTCGAACGGAGATTGGAACTGTCCATTACCGTGGTGAAAAAACCATCGCCATGTATATCGTAACTTAACCACTATATTCATAAAATGTTGTAGTATTGTAACAAAATCTTTTCCTTGTGAACACATGTTTAACATCTGGTATAATTTTAAATAAAAGAAGAACGCGATTAACAAGAAAAGTGGAAAAACTTATGTTTTTAAATGTCAATTTAGACGATTCGCGATTTAATAATGTGTAATGTAAATGTAACTATTTAAGTACCATTTGTATTATTTAATTTATTTTTCAAGTTACAATAAATATATCCTTCGTTAGGTTCTTTTATTTCAATACTTATACACATAAACGATAATAGCTAATATGTTTGTGTACTCGCTAATTTGAATACTGGTAAACAATCAACTAGTTACAGTTTACGAAAAACGGTTCCGATAAAAATTAAAAAAACGAGAAGACCCACCTCTAGTTTTTTAGGTATATTAGGATCGGAACCAGAGAATATCTGATCGGAACTAATCGTCTCACTAATGGGCAATGGCCAATGAGTGTTAAAAGGATTCTAGGAGGGGAGACGAAGGGGAAATATGATTGTTATCTTTGTCTAATTCGTTGAAAATATGATTTTATATCTGCGTTAGATATCCTGTTAAATTTTACCATACCGACCTTAAAATTTTACCTACACTGTATGTTGTATATACGTTGGGTATGTATTAGTGATTTATTTTTATATAGTATGTATAACGTTTGGCAGTTACTATACACATTTGGAATTTAAAATCCGGAACATAGGATTTTTTACAAATACTAAGATTCTCTGCGTTGCAATTAACCAGTGTAAATTTCTTTATAACGTCGCGATGTTTTATAACTAATTTATTTGTTCCACTGGATTACTATTACTTCTCCTCAGCGGTTTGTAGTAGCGTATATGGCACGCCGACAGTGTTGCTCCGTCTACCGATTTTTCCTGAAAGTCCGGTTTTGTGCAGATAATAAATAATGTTTTATTAACATCAATTTTGTTTGTGTTCATTAGGTATTATTTAAGTTATAAAATTTATACTTAAATACATTTATTATTCCAAATATTGTTTATAATTTCAAACTAAAAAGAGTGTAATATAATTATTTTATTTTTAAAATTCCTTTTTATTTTTAATTTTAGAAATCAACTTTTTTTCACGCCGTTTTGGCAATAAAACATAACCATTTTTTTAGTCATAAAATATTTTCATATCTACATTTATAAATAAGTAGATACGTTTTCGTTAAATTGACATGCGATCTAGGTGTGTTCCGTTTTTACACTTACACTGTCAGCATCGCGGCGTGAATTGAGACTCCAGTCGAACTAATGAATTAATTATAAAACATCAAATCAAAAAGAAAAAAGCTTTACAAAGCCATTTACAACAACTGTTGGATGAAGAGGGACCTCAATATTCACCAGGAATGGCCGATTAAACGTGAGTATAAAGTTATCAGCCTTTAATTCACGAAAATTATGTAAAAAAAAACTTTAAATGCTTTTTTCTCAAAAGTAACATTTTCAAACTGGTCAGACACTTTTCTCCGAACCTTCTTAACCGATTTTAAAAAACCAAAAATTTTTCGAATGTATATACAAAAGACTAGATGATAAACCTTTAAAATATTTAAAAACCACCCCCCCTTTTATTATATATGGGTAAATCCACCCAAAAACATAGCGATTTTTCGACTTTTTTGAAAAAACTCGTATAAACTCTTCAAAATAATACAATTTGCATATTTTAAAGGTTTATCATCTAGTTTTGAATATCTGTTACAGGTGACCCACAAAGTGTCTTACCACCAAAAACGCACTTTTTACTACACGCCATCTACAGGACACCAATGAAGTTAAAATCGCTATTAAAAATTTTTTTATGTACTTCAAGACTTACTTAATCATCTCCAAAAGGATTTATGTTAATAAATATTATAGTTTTTTTTCTGCTTTAATTTTAAAATGTGTCTCTTTTTTTTAATCGCATGAGACTGTCCCCTTAGAAAAATATAAATCCCCTTACCTTTTTTCTGATTCATCTTCACTATCACTTATGTCGATTTCCACAGTTTCATAGTATTTATCTAGCAGCTCCAGCTCAGCTGTTAGGCTAACATCAAGGGGTTTTTCTTCTTCTTTTTGAGAACTACTAATTGATAACTAGAAACAAAATAGTGTTCTAGAACCAGTTGTTTATGTATTTGAATTTAACATGATAACACTATATTGTCGCTTAAAATGCAAAAGCTTGTAACCCACACTTTGATCGAAATTGTGATGTATTAGCCATTGAGTTTATTATTTATATGCTTATGTACCTGCAAAATATGGAAAGCAACAATTGCGTTGTTTCAGTGAATTTTAAGGAAAACAAAAAATTCGCATCCCGCGTATTTTACTGCAACATCGCGTAAACCACACAACCATCTAGTCTGTGTGGGATTTTAGGTGTTGCAGTTCTAAGCAAAACCTGATAACCCACATACACATGTTACGCATGTGGCTTACAACCTTTTGATTTGCATATTTATATTAGGTACTTAACCCAAATGTTTCTAAAAATTAAAATAATTTTTTAAATACTGCAGTATGAAAAGCAAAGTTTGTGCAAATTAAAATAAACATGGATAATATTAATGTTTCTAATCGTGTTAAATTATTAGTGTAAGAATGTTTAAAAACAACAGGTGAGCTTACATATTGATTACTGTTATACTATCATGTATCCAAAATGTTCGTTATCAATTGGTTTTTAGTATGTATTTGTTTAAAACTAAACAATTTAATTAAGCATCAAGTTTAGTTTTACAATGTGCCCATATCCACACATTGAACATAGTCTTTTTTAATTTCCTTTGTTTTAAATTCACAATCATAAGCATTTCTCTACAAATTTATTCAAACGATTTTAAGCAGCATGTTTGTTTCAGATGAAACTTCTGCTTCTAATGTAAATGTTAAGCAAAATGGAGAATGTTCAAGTTCAAGTTCAAGTGCACTGAAGAAATATTAAAAGAAGCAACGAAAAAAGAACAATACAAAATTTCATAATCATGTGGAATATTAAGAGTTGAATATCTATAAAAATCCTATCGATGAAGAAAATATAGGAGGTTTGGAACATGGAGAAGTTTTCGAAATTTTAAAGGACAATAACGCATCCAGCATATGTGAAGAAATATCAAAAGAATCACTGAAAAAATAATACAAAATTTCCAAATTAGATGAAGAATTAAATTTGAATATCAATGAAAATAACACTAATGAATAACATGCAAGAAGTGTATCCAGTAATATTGAAGGCACGCAAATGGGTAAAATAATAAAGAGGATATCGGAGAGACAATCTTGGAAAAGAGAAGCTAACAAAAGACTATGAGAAAGCAGTAAAGTAAGATGTATAAAGTGTGGTTTTCAAAAAGATCCTGAAACAAAAGTATACAAACAAATTGCTCCTAAACCCAAGAAAAAAATTGGACCACGCTGTGATTCAAATTAATGTATGAAAAGTAAATTACGTGCTTGTTAAAATATTTTAGAAGATATGAAAACAAATTTTGGAAATTGGCATGGGAACAACAGACAATTTTTGTGGCTAATAATATTACATGCACACCTGTCAAAAGAAGGTGTACAAAAAATTAAATATCATCCAGAAATTGTTCAATGTATTATACTTTACCAATTGATGATTAAAAGACAAATGTATGTAAAAAATTATTTCTGTTTACTTTATGCTTGGGTGAATTTCAAGTAAGTTCATGGGTTAAGAAAGCTAAACACAATATTCATGAGTCAAAGATTTCAGAAGAAACAGGAACAATATGAGCATTACACAAAATGAATGGTGACAAGCAGTTTCTAAAGATGTTTTTAGATGAGCTACCAAAACAGTCATCCCACTACTGCCATAAAAGCTCAAGCAAATTATATTTAGATCACACTGTTCGATCTATTGCAGCTTTATATAGGGACTATCTGTTGAAGTGCAAAAATGATAGGAAGCAGGCTATGAGTAGAAGAACATTTGACCAAGTTATTCCATGAGAAAGGAATTTCTATTTACCTTATGCCCAAAAAAGATAAATGTGACATTTGTTGTCAACATGAAGTAGGGAACCTGGATGAGGAATCTGTTGTCACTCATGTTACTAAGAAGGAAAGAGCAAGGAAAGAAAAACTGAATGACACCATGCTAGCTCAAGATGAATTAAGCATCATTTTAATGATGGATTTACAAGCTGTTAATGTCACCATAATGAATCTAAAGACAAAACATGTTATGTTTTATTCGTTTAGCAAAATAGAAACTGATTTATCTGTTTATTCATTTGCCTCTTTGGTTGTGGACTACATTACACTGCTTACGGATAGCAACTTGAACTTACTGTGTACAGTGGTGGATGTACATATTAAAACCATAACAGGATCATGGTAAATGCATTGCTTTTTTGCCCTATAAGTAGAAATCAAATAATTGAACAAAAATACTTAGAACATGGACATACTCAAATGGAGTGTGACTCCATTCACAGTTGAATAGAAACTAAAATTAAAGGATGTGATATATATCTGCCTTCCACTTATCTTTCTATTACTCATGAAGCTAGACAAAATCCTTATACATAGGAGGCTGAATGGGTAATTTACACTCGGTTTAAAGATTATTCTAAAAAGGAAAATCAGATGTATGCCGGCACCGACCAGGTAACAAAAATGTGACTTACATTAAAACTATTAAATATCTACCCGAAGTTGTTATTTTCTACAAACTCAACTTTGATGATTTATGGGTAGAGCTTAAAACAGGCAAGAAATATGCTGTGTTTGGCCGCAAATGAATTTGGAAAATAGAAAAACAAAGGTTAAGAAATAGAAACATCTTCAAGATTTAAAAGCTACAAAGAAACTAAGTTCCTGTAGCTGGCTGTATACCATGTATCACAAAAAATTTACTTAAAACTCCTTTATAAAAGGTATATAATTAATTATATACCTTTTATAAAGGAATTTTAAATAATTTTTTTTTATTTAAAAGCTGTTATCCCTCCTGATTGCCATTATTTTTACGATAATATTGAACATAATTAATTATTTCTTTTAAAATCTTTTTAATATGAACTTAAGTTATAAATAAAACTTAACTTCGAAATAAATTTTTAATTTTATAAAATACTTATGAGTACTTTACAATATATAAGAATACCTTGATATTAAATAAATAATTATTTATTTAGGTTTAACGATTTTCACATGCAGAGAATGTTTTTTATTCTCCTGCAAAAAAACCTATTTGTGGGTTTCAAGCTTTTGCATCTTAAATGACAATATGATAAGTCAAAAATTTGCATAATCAGATTTATAAAAGTAACTTAAAAGAAATAGAAAGCACTATATGAACTAACAAAACAGAAAAATGTAGAAATTCAAATACCTCTACATTTGAAAAGTTACAAAATTTGAAAATAAGTTGTTTTCACTGAAAAAAAATCAGCAAGACACACAAGCATTTTTAATTAGTTCCCTTTAATATCCTATGGATTCTAGTATTTGATGTGTGGGATATCAATAATTATAAGATGATATAAAAAGAGCTGTAAAACTCATTTTATTCATACAAAAATCTACTTCTCAAAAGAATTGCTTATGCTTACCTTATCTTCATTTCTTTTACTGTCTAATGCTTCATCATCATCATAAACTCTACTTTCTATAAATTGAGTATTTTTTAAGCTTTGAAATTCATTTTGGGATATGTCTAACTTTAGGCCTACTTCATCTAGATCATTTAGTAAATTATTTATGTTGTCATTCAAATCATCAGTTTTTGTGAGTAGGTTCTAAAATGTAAAAGTTATTTTATAGGTTGAAACTTGAAATTATTGCTTAAATCAAAGCAATAAGTGGTCGTTTCAAAAAAGTTTTTATCTTTTTACTTTAATATTATCCTGAGACTCAGATTCAGGAAACCAACTAATTGAATTAAATCCAAAAGAACATTTTGACATCTCTCCTACACCAATTAATTATTATTTTTGCATGTGTATTTAAAGATAAAATTGGAATGTACATTTGTTATGTATTTAGAAAAAAGTTTTTATCTACTTACATTTGCGAAATGTTTCAGAGTATTTAGTAAAGCTACATCTCCTGCTAATGACCAATTTTCGGAGTTATCAATAATCTCTTCAGTTGTCCACGGTCTGTTCCAACTTTTTTCGCTGCTCATTATATTAATTTTCCTCAAAAAAACCTAACAAAACAGGCTGTTTACATCAATTCCAGAAATTTTCAAAGGAAAAACAATCAGATCACATCATAGTCAGAGAACTTCGAACTGTCATAGTGACATAACTGACATAGCACTCTAGTAAGATAAGTCCAATGACGTATAATATATAGACTCGGTGAACGCTCTAAAAAGTGTCCAAAACATGAATACCTTTGTTATTGTTTATTGTTTTGATACGAAGATGCACGAAGTTCATGATTTCTTACGAAGCATCACGAAGTTGATCATGTGTTTGAAAACATCATGGACGTATGAAAACATTTTCTCCATTTTGTGTGACAAGCAAATTTTATTTTAAATTGTTGAGTTATTTACTTACTATTTTAGTAAAATGCAATACTATTTTATCAAAATAATTATTTCTCTTATAGACGGGAACAAAAAGAAATCATAAATATTTAATTTTAATTAAAAAAATAATTATTGTCATTAATATATAAATGAGCACGTCGCTGTTCTGATAAACATACCTTCAACCTTGAGCCGAGATCTTTCGGACACTCTATTCTATAGGGAGAATAGGGGACTGCGTAGTCTATATATTATACGTCATTGGATAAGTCTCATAAAAAGATTCTAGTTTCTAGCGCTAAATGCGGACGGGCCGAAACTAATGTCCTTTGGCGGCAAATTTAAAATGTGGATTCTGAGTTTTAGACGGCAAATTAAAAAAAATATGCTCTGAATTTTAGGCGAAAAAAATTGTTGCTTGCATAGCATACAATGCTATTCAAAATTCAAAAAGTATGCTATATATTCTCCTTGTCCACAAAAATATTATACACTTTTATATATAAATGTATAACATAATATTAGACAGAGTATTGGCAACAAATATCCTCCTCCTCCTCATTCCTTAAGCCCTTGTCAGGGTGTGGGTGGGGACACTCTAAATATGCTTGTAATAAAAACAGCTTGCTGTCTCCATTGGCTACGATTCTGTACCAGATGGACAACTTTATGTAGATGGACAACTTTTGACCAATCTTCATTTAATCTTCCCCTCATGTTGTAGATCCATACCTTCTAAAATACTCTTCCTTAAAGGACCATATGTAGATAATAAGGTGTAAACTCTAGCATTTTTGCGAACTTGCTTTTCAGGATCATCACAAATTAGTATGTTACTATATTGATCAGAAGTAGAAGGTCAATGAAAATCTATAATAATGAAGTATTAAAATTAAGAATGTATGACTTTTTTTATAAAATAAGGCAATCCCTTCTGGCAATTTAGCACATAGTTGTGGCAAAGTACGCTGAGGGTTATTTCTTAAGCGTTGTTTCATTTTGTGCCAAAGTGTTTGCCCCACTTAGAAACAAATGTTCAAGAATATCTTGATACTTTGCTTCGTTTAATATGCCTTCAATACAATTTAAAGTTCCTAACTCTTTGGCTGACATACACCTCCACACATTGATGCCCTGTGGAAACTTTACATTCCTTTTGAGACAATCCGTATAGAATGCTTCTGTTTTTTCCGAATCATACACTTTCGATGATCTCCCACACAGACAACAAATTTGCTTTCGTTGCAAAAAAAAATGTTTTGTAAAGAAGAACCTATCAAACATACCTTATAAAAACTAAGACCGCTCTTGTGGATATATTTGCGATAGCGTTCTCTGGAAACATTCATCTCATTTTCCCTATTCCACTTGACAGTTTCTTTTCATAGTGTATTTCTTCTTCTCGACTTACATATTCTAATTAAATGCCTTACTCTTCTTTAAGAAACCGCTTTTGGACGACCTGAGCTTTTGCCACGAACATCAATACTGGCAGTTTCACCGTATTTCTTAATTAAATTAAACACTGTAGTTGTTGCTACAGTCAATTCACTGGAAATTTCACGCATTGTTCTCCCTTTATGATACTGATAAATAATAGTTTCTCGAACTTTTGGATCAGTAGGTTTTCCACGTGTCATTATTATATTTCACTCGTAATAAAACTGACAATTGTTAATTAAACGCATCGAGTTAGAATCTATGGAGAAGCTATCAGCATATTAACGTATGTATTAAAAACGGCGTAGGTAGGCGTGGCTAACGATAATACCAATATGGTGGTGGGATCAGGGCCAGACTCAATATTATTAAAACTACTATACAAATATGACTAATTATTCAGAAGATTTAATCAATCTAAAAAAGTACAATACATTTTTAATAAACTATGATTTATTTATCCCGCGATAAACACTAAAAACACGATATATTATACATAAAGATAAATTAATACAGTCAAATACTATTAATTTATTCTCTGAAGTACGGGGCAGTACGGGCCATTATTTTGTTTACATATTTGTATACTAACCTGTGGAACGATATTCCTGAAGATTTTTTTATTACCATTGCTTCTAATACTGCAACTACGTTGAGAACATATCTCTTATTTAGCTTTTGCTTCAATTAGGTACCTATTATTTTGTAGGAATAGAGTGGTTTTTGTTATGTTTATATGGGAATAGAGTGGTTTATATGTTTATATGGGTTAATATTATGTTTATATGGGATTAACCCACAATTACATTTGATAACATTGTTGGTTATTCAAACAATAATTATAAAACATAATTTTCATTACTATCAATTTGTGGCTACCTAATCCTATATAAATATCATATTTTTTTGTGACGGAAATGATTTAGCACAATTTATTGTAAGAAGAGGAATTATTGATGATTGATTTACCATTGTCATCTATTTTTGAAGGGCAGTTAATTTAAGTTTAATATTATTAAATAAATTGTACGATTATTATAATATCAAAATTACTATTTATCCAATAAATTAGACATTTGGGAGAAAAGTTTACATTTTGATAATACAATAATTATAAATCAGGATTAATTTACCATTTACTGAAAAATTGTGCAACACCGTATTATCGACAGCTTCGGCACAGCACAGAATAAATATAAAATCGTTTCGTCTTCTGTGACTGGCTCAAAGAACAAACATGAAAATCTATGACTACAATCACTTATGACTCACTTCACTCTTATCGTTCTTTATTTTAAGATGATTTATTGTTAATGTAAAAGCATGGTAAAAGCCATTAAACGTCACTAAATGCAACGTGTTACCCGGAGGTTAAAAAGTAAGGCCGGCGAATTAAACTGCAATGTTGACATACTCATTTGATTGTAGCCTTGACATACCCCAGTATATTTTTCAGGTCAGCCGGTCAACAACATCCAAAGTAGTGAAAGTCAATCTATTTCTGCTTTAGATTATTAATTTTTTAAATTTACACCTTCACATTAATTTTGTAAATAACAACGTGACTGTTTTGGGTTATGGCCATATACTTCATTGCTACATTTATTGCCAATAAAAAAATATATCGTTTGTTCTGTTTGAACATGAAATTATTTTTTATTGTTTCGTATTTTTAAGAGTTACTATATTAATAAATTATAAGATTGAATATTTTTTATAGGTTTTCTATAAAATTAAATTTTTTGGTACAAGTACTTTTCTTTTAACTTTTACGTTTTTTAAAATATTATTCTGTCTAATAGATTACTAATTTCTTACGTCTTTTCTTGCAAATCGGCATCAATCCATTCTTTATGCTTCCCCTTTCTTGACTTGCTTCCTTCATAGCTTCTTTTTTTTTAATTTAATTATATTTATTTAATATTTTGGCAATCGTTTTATGTTAATTGAATGCAACACTATATAGATAATGTTCTTTTACCTACACGTTAAGCTGACAAACTATTCTGTATTACTAAACATATAGAATACTAAATTGACAAAGCTCCTGGTAAAGTATTTTCCACCTAAGAAGATCACTTTGAAATTAAATGCTGGCAACTTTATTACTAGTGAACCAGATACTCGGCGATATATTTTACACTACATTTATGAATAACATTTTAGTGCTCTGTTGTTTCAATCAGCACTGTTCAACAAGTTATCGTTTATTGGCTTTAATATTTTATTGCATGTTAATTTTTGTTAGGAGTAGCATGTGTCATAATAATTGCAATATCCTTTATACACACTTTAAAAAATTGTTTAGTAATGTATTTCTTAAATCCACACAATCATTGAAAAATGATTCATGTTATTTAAAAATATCTTTCTGTCAAGCACAAAGAAGATCAAATTTAAATTTGTCATCATATTACACTTCTGTTTATCATTAAAAATTAATGATCGTGGGTTGTATTGGTGTTATTTAATAATTTAGCAAAATACATAATCAGCAAAAATCTTATTTAAAACATGCGAACGGTTTTTGCAATCACAATCAATGCAGTGTTTATGTATGTTTAGCATTGGCTGTTAAATAATGTTCGATTGTTTCGTCTGTTGTATAACCCTCGTCTTTTTTAGGGTGTAGTAGTTGTATATAAGTACCTATTTTTTTTATAGTAGTTTAGTGAAGCCGTACTTTAAAGTAAAATGAGTAATTTGGAAGAAAATAAAAACAGTCGACAAGTGGAGTGTTATCTCCAGAAGAACGGCGTTTCTCATAGAGAACATCCCGAAGAATTATTAACATAAGTGAGGATTAAATAAATAAAGTAAGCAAGAGAAATCGTCGACACCCAAAATCTTTAGATTTCCACCAGTCAATACATATAAAACATAAACATATAATACATATAAAACCGAAGAACATGTAATACTGTTTTTGTTTGTTTTTAAATGACTGCGGACACTAAATCCATTCGCCAATCTTACAATTTGAGGTGTAGTGTGTGTGTGTGTGTGTGTGTGTGTGTGTGTGTGTGTGTGTGTGTGTGTGTGTGTGTGTGTGTGTGTGTGTGTGTGTGTGTGTGTGTGTGTGTGTGTGTGTGTGTGTGTGTGTGTGTGTGTGTGTGTGGTGTGTGTGGTGTGTGTGTGGTGTGTGTGTGTGTGTGTGGTGTGTGTGGTGTGTGTGTGGTGTGTGTGTGTGTGTGTGTGGTGTGTGT